AATAGAGGTTTCTCACTACTCGAATTACCCCTCCTCGACTCCTTTCCTCGACTCCTATCCTCGATACTTAGTCCCGCCCACAGGACATGCGAGCGGAGGACTGAGGAGGGGAACCGAGGAGAGAGGAGCCGAGGAGGGGAACCGAGGTGAGAGGAGCCGAGGAGGGGAACCGAGGAGAGAGGAGCCGAGGAGCCGAGGAGGGGAAACGAGGAGAGAGGAGGGGAAGCAGCAGGCGGTTAGAGAAAGGAGAACTCCTCTCCTCTGAGCGGTCATTTTAAAGAGACGTCCATTAATGATGACAGGAGGCACAGCAGCCCTCTGCCCACATATATATATTTATATACAATTTCAGAATCAAACAGAGCACTCTCATAATAACATAACACTATCAGAGACTGGATATACCCCCCCCCCCCTCCCCTCCTCTCCCCCCCTCTCCCCCCCCTCTCTGGTCGCTACAATGAGGGAAATGAATTACGGGCCAAACGTTTTATTTACAAGTATTAAAAGTAAGCAGAGGACACCAAACCAACTGAGACCTGTCTGTCCGCTGCATCTACGCACTGTACCACACCAACCCAGTCTCACGGAAGCTGTGTGGTTCATAAAAACATGTTCTTACTCAATATCAAGCCACAGTTATTGCTTTTATTTTAAATCGTATAATTTCGGACTTTTGTTCCCGTCTGTGAGGAAAATAAATGGGGCTCAGAGCCTCAGAATACTGGAATCTGTATTTTTAAATATTTGTTTCCTTCTAATTTGTTATTCTTTTCAAAATAACACACTGTTATTTACTCACCAATAACACACAATTATCCTTGCTTTTATTTATTGGTTTAATTCCATAATCTCTGGCTTTTTTGGCGTCCGTCAGGAACTGAATTTCAAAATAAAAAGAACCGGAAACAGACGTAGGCCTATAAGGGAATTTCGAGCATCATTGCGATTGTCAACCTTTCTGAGTTTAGGATGGCCGAAGACACTACACTACCCATAATCCCCAGCTATCGTTTAGGACTACAGTCCCCGTAAGGTTACGCAGAGCGTCAAACAGCTGTATGAAATGGAACGAAACCACGGCAGACTATCCAAAACTGGAATCCAACGCCCCCCCAGAACTACACATGCTGGCTATTGTGTTTCACAAAATGTTCTATGGGACGTCTCTACTGAACGTTTTCGTTTTTCCCACAATTAGAAGTTAACAGTATTAAACACATTGGTGTTATCAAATGTAAAACATATAATTAATAAATGGGTGAAAATCGCTTGTGTCCATAATGCGCAGCATTAATACTCACATGACAGCTCATTGATACTTTGTAATTCTACTCCACTATAATTCAGAGGTTAACCTGGTATTTTTACTCCACTACATTTATTTGAGTTACTTTGCAGATTCTGATTAATGATGTGAAATATAAACAACCCTTAAATCAGACTTTAGTTACACCTGAGTAAAATTCAGGTGAAGGTGATTGTCAAGTGCCAACAATCAGGAGAGATATTTCATAGTTGGTGCTTGAGAAGACTAAACATGTATCTGCAGATCTCTATAAAGTATATTCATGACTCGTTATTCTCTACTAATAGTTAATTAAAAGACTGTATATTATGGCTATTTTGCACATCCCTTTCAAGATTTTCAAAGGTTTATTGACATATCATATACACAACTACGGTGTAGTTATGCAATGAATGAAACACGTGGGTCACAGGTTCCTCAACAGTGCATTACAAGACATCTATCAATATGTGTGTCCCTCCACCATCAAACTGTCATATTCTGCACATTTCTTATTCTATCTACATAAGAGTATAATTAATGTGTATAATATCAGTTAAAATAAGTGCTTCAACATAGTTAACATTGCAGGAAAGCAATATATTAGACGTTAAGTACTTTGTCAGGCTTAATATTTATCTGTAGATAGATACCCCCAACGTTTTTTGCTTATTTAAAAGAAGACCTTAATCTGTTATTTAATGTTTAAATAAAGGTTAATTCGTTTTTCTGTTTTGCACCTCCTCCTATTCATATCTTTGTACATGCTGCACTAAACTGTTTTATTGTAGAGATCACTTTATAGTATCTTCTTGATTTTTTACATTCTATATTTCTACTTTCCCCCTATGAAAGTATGTACTCTTAATATTTTTTTAATCAAACACAATAATTCAATAACGTGCTTTAACCACTAGATACACACAAGGTACACAAATGTTTTCCGGATTTCATATCATATAAACACCAAATCCCAGCATGCACTGCGGCTAAAACATCCAATAAGCGAGCTTAAAACCATAGCTGAGGATCTTGGGTAATGCCTATGTCCGGTTATTTTTATTTTGAAATTCAGTCCCTGACGGACGCCAAAAAAGCCCGAGATTATGGAATTAAACCAATAAATAAAAGCAAGGATAATGGTGTGTTATTGGTGAGTAAATAACAGTGTGTTATTTTGAAAAGAATAACAAATTAGAAGGAAAACATATTTAAAAATACAGATGTCAGTATTCTGAGGCTCTGAGCCATTTATTTTCCTCACAGACGGGAACAAAAGTCCGAAATTATACGATTTAAAATAAAAGCAATAACTGTGGCTTGATATTGAGTAAGAACATGTTTTTATGAACCACACAGCTTCCGGTCTTCCTCGACCCGACCGGAGAAAAAGACGTGCTGCAGGCAGTAGAAATACATTGCTTTTAAAATCGTGCTGTGCAACACGAAAAAAAGGGGCAAATCGTGTTGGTGAACACGAAATGCCGTGAGACTGGGTTGGCATCTACGCACACACTGTACCACCACACACACACACACACACACACACACACACACACACACACACACACACACACACACACCTACGCACTGTACCACACACCTACACACTGTACCACACACACACACACACACACACTGTACCACACACACACCTACACACTGTACACACACACACCTACACACTGTACACACACACCTACACACTGTACCACACACACACACACCTACACACTGTACCACACACACACACCTACACACTGTACCACACACACACACCTACACACTGTACCACACACACACCTACACACTGTACACACACACCTACACACTGTACCACACACACACACACACACACTGTACCACACACACACACTGTACCACACACACCTACACACTGTACAACACACACACCTACACACTGTACCACACACACACCTACACACTGTACAACACACACACCTACACACTGTACCACACACACACCTACACACTGTACCACACACACACCTACACACTGTACAACACACACACCTACACACTGTACCACACACACACGCACACACACACACACACACACACACACACACACACACACACACACACACACACCTGCAGCTCCTAAAGCATCCTCAGGCTGCAGCCGTTGTGTATTTATTTTGTGAAGCACTAAATGCTCTTAGAAACATCTGGACTCTTTGTTTGTAGATATCTACTAAACTAAGCAAAGAGAGTCGGCCTGTTCTACTGAGTGATATCTATGATACACACTGCTCTGCTTTCTGCACGGACCTCTCAGCTGTTCTACTGAGTGATATATATGATACACACTGCTCTGCTTTCTGCACGGACCTCTCAGCTGTTCTACTGAGTGATATCTATGATACACACTGCTCTGCTTTCTGCACGGACCTCTCAGCTGTTCTACTGAGTGATATCTATGATACACACTGCTCTGCTTTCTGCATGGACCTCTCAGCTGTTCTACTGAGTGATATCTATGATACACACTGCTCTGCTTTCTGCACGGACCTCTCAGCTGTTCTACTGAGTGATATCTATGATACACACTGCTCTGCTTTCTGCACGGACCGCTCAGCTGTTCTACTGAGTGATATCTATGATACACACTGCTCTGCTTTCTGCACGGACCTCTCAGCTGTTCTACTGAGTGATATCTATGATACACAACTGCTCTGCTTTCTGCACGGACCTCTCAGCTGTTCTACTGAGTGATATATATGATACACACTGCTCTGCTTTCTGCACGGACCTCTCAGCTGTTCTACTGAGTGATATCTATGATACACACTGCTCTGCTTTCTGCACGGACCTCTCAGCTGTTCTACTGAGTGA